CACCCACACCCGCAGCCCACACCCACACCCACACCCACACCAACACCAACACTTACACCCACACCCACACCCAACACCCACACTTACACCTGCACCCAACACCGACACTTACATCCGCACCCAACACCCACACTTACACCCACACCCAACACCCACACTCGCACCCACACCCACACCTACACCCACACCCACATCCACACCAACACCCACACCCATACCCACACACACCTTATTACTCATCGTCGACATCGTTGTAGCTTGCCTGCCTTTGGTAGTTTTTTTAAAAACGCAGCTGCTGGAGAAAGAACGATTCCTACCTAGCAGATGTTATGGTGATGGTAAAAACAGCCAAATATTTCAACCTTGATTTGAATGTTATGGAAGCGCGTCGAGTAAAAGAGAGAAAGAGAAAAAGGGACAAACTGAGAGAAATCCACTCGATAATGTTGCGTTCCTGCATTTGAATGAAATAAATTGTTCGGTCTGTTTTATTTCGCTGACAACTCAGTCTTGAAAAACATTTTCTTTTCATGAGTGTTGCACACGAATTGATCCTTTTCTTGAGATCTTTTCTAAAGATTATATTTCGATGGAGTAGAACAAAGTTGTGACAGAATAAAATTGCAGTAAAAATATCAATTTGTAATTGATTCTCAAAGACACCCAACCATCTCATAATTCATTTATAAAATACTCGTTTTCTCTTGATATTTCCCTCCTATTCATGTTTTTTATCATTATTATATTGATTTCTACTTAGGTACCCGATTCCATCTGAAAGAAATAAATTGATTAAACGTAAGATCGTCATATCTTTGGATACACTCTAGCAATCTTACGTCGACATCAAAAATGTGTCTTTGCTGTTTCTTGGCACAACAATCTCCAGACAATTTTGTTGGTGTATGGTCTTTGGGAACAACAGTGCGGTTGCGTATATGGGAAGACGGAAATATTAGCTACACTAAGCAGGTAACATAAAACCTCAATCCAGTTCTTCAGTCAATAGTAAGCGACCATTGCAATACTACACAAAATAATTTCTTGCTGCCTAACCAATTGAAGCATATGAGCGATTAAGTTCTTATTTCGAAATTTAAAATACTTATGAATTTGTTTGGTAATTCATCTCTTTCTCTGATTAATTAAAGTAGACTGTAACGAAATCATTGTGTCTTACACCATGATAGCCTGTGTAAACTTACAAAGTGGAGATATCATCTTAATTCGTTTTCATTTTTTATCCCTATAGTACATTCATGAATGGCTTGCTCGGAACTTCCGATTCAGATAACTTCTTCTAAATTCTAAGTTCTACATTAAATAGAAATAGGTAGTTACATTCGTAGTCGATCGTGGAAGATACTTTTTCTTGTTTGCAGCAATGATTTAAGATCATTTGTTCACTTGTTTCGTATTTTGCAATGAAGTTTCGACTAACCTTGAATATTTTAGAGGTCCAATGGCAGTGTTAAAAGGTGGGATGCATTCGCTCGTTATGACGACAAAGGATTTTGGACTTGCTGCTGTTTTTCTACTCTTAAAGGTGTTTATGACGAACGAACACCTGCGTTCATTGTTGATGGTGATGTATTAACGAAGCAATCAACTCATTATTAATAAAAATTATGACACTTTGTTTGATGAAAAGTCTCATGTAAATATATCGAACAATAAAATCCATGATTTACTGCTATCGTTAAATTGTCTATTATAGAATGGTTTTAGTAATGGAGGACAAAAAGCGCGATTCCATCTATTCCAAGACGTTTTCAGAGAATAATTGATGTTGAAATGTAGCAGAGGCGAAGCCATAAGGTCAGGTACAGCGAAGTATGAAAAGAGTGCTCAAAAAAGATTCACAAAAAGAAAATTTTGAACTAATGCCAGTAAACAAAATCAAGTAACATAGCGTCTGCTTTCAAGCAGCACTTGCATACGAAGAAACATTAAACAGAAGCTTTTGGAATCTATTACTAACAGTATCTGCGACAAATAAATTCTAGTTTTTATCGAATTTGATTTCCCTTCACGCAAAAGGTTGATTCGGTTCGTTACCAATACCACCTGCATTAGTACCAATCATACTACTTTCAGTTTCATCTGCATAAAATATCCGTTTTACACTTTGAGGGTGTGGCTAGGGTGTGGGTGGGTGTGGCTGTGTGAGTGGCCGTGGCTGGGTGTGGAGGTGTGGGTGTGGATGTGAAAAGCAAGATCCACACCCACAGGCACAGGCACAGCCACACCCACAGCTCCACTCACACCCACACCCTCATGTATAAAAATAGAATTAGTTCAGAGGTTTTCAAGTGATTAGCTATTGGAGACTGCATTTCAAAATGTCAAAAGAAGAAGTCCTTTAGCTTCTTCTATTCTCTATGAATTCAATGTCTATATCTGTAGTAGAAAATAAGAGTTTTAGTAAAAGTTAAGATTTGTTTTATGCAAATAGTGAAAAGAAGTCAAAACAGTTCGTCATTGTTCTTACAACACTTTAAATGTTAGCGTAATTTATTTTAGATAGATCACTAAACATTGATTAAACTATAGCAGCTCAAAGAATCATAATTCATTAGGTTTTATCTTGAAAATTCTGTCTATTACTAGTGCAATTATCAGAATAGACAACTCCTGTAGGTCGAATGCTTACAGCAATAAAATTTAGACAAGCATTTGCAATAATATAAAAAGATACAAGGACCTTCAAATTGAAACATGAGTAGTTACTCAGATTAAACTACTCTAATACACAATTTATTGAAAATACCAAGTTCTTAGTTGCTTGCTAAACGAGAAAATAGGATCGTCTAAACCTGAGCCTATCTTTACAAATAATGTACAGATTTATGCCCTGTTATCATCAGATTCCATTTTTGTATGAGGAGAGTGTGTAAATGTCGAAGTGACTTATACTGCTACGAGATAACATTAAAGAAATTTTTCCTTCCAAAAGAATTTCCTAGCTCTGGAAAAAGGAAAAGTTTTACAGTATAATAATAGTCGAAATCCATAACCGTTATTCCTAAGATAAGCTACTCACTGTTGCGAAAAATGTTTCCTCTACCTTGAAGGCTTTTTCAGCTATTTGCGAACGGAAAAAATACTTTAACTGATTTTTTTTGTTTTTATTTTCTTTCTATTACAAGAAATTGAAGGAAACCGTAGAAATCTTCCTTAGGCTTAAGGTTAAAAGGGTGTGGGTGGGGTGTGGGTGTGGGGTGTGGATGGGTGTGTGGGGGTGTGGGGGTGGGGCTGGGGGTGTGGGTGGGTGTGGGGTGTGGGTGTGTGGGTGTGGGTGTGGGTGGGTGGACGGGTGTCGGGTATGAATGTAGGGTATGGGTGTGGGTATGTGGTTTCCTTCACTGTAGACTTTCATCCACACCCACACCCACCCACACCCTATCTAACACTTAGCGACCACTATTTCTTTCGTGTATTTTATTACATGAGTTCCTGTATTGGTCATTTCTCTATTCTTTTTCTGCTCAAATGAACTAAAAAAAAAACAAAAATATTTTTTTTTGTGATTCGTTGCTCAACTCAAAGAATTATCAATTATGAGTAGTACAGTTTTCATAGATTATTCATGGCTTCCATTTACATTCATTGTAATATAGTATGTCATTTAAACTTGTTAGTAAAAAACTGTTATAAAAATGAAAAAAATGACTCGATTTTATCAGAGATAATAATGAAATGAATCTTTGTTTCATTATTGTTTACTTCTACTTTTCTTAGAGTATCCTTTCTTAATGCTACTATTACTAACACTATAAGTATGTTCTAAAGATTCTTCTCTCATTATTAAATATCTTTTATTTTTCATCATCATTGGCTAAATTCCTTTCATTATCGTATGTTTAACATTAAACAAAATATTCATTTCGATAAATAAATGATGTTTTTATAAGTTTCAAATAACATATCTTCTAATAAGAGATATACTAGCCATAACAGACATCAGAAAGAGTATATCTTCTTCGCTAATGTTTGTATGTTATTTTAACATGTGAGATATTTTCTAGCAAATAATATTTTTAGATGGTTATTTAATAATTCATTGTAAATTGTGTTCCTTTTGCATAGAACGTTTATCTCTATTCAACTTTATCTTTTAGCAAAATATAAAATTCTATATTCTTCTTTCAACAAGATTTTGTAATTTGAAATTTCGCAATGATTAATAACTTACTCTATAAATAATTCAACGTCTAGCTATACTCAAATAAAGTAAACTTTTATTCATATTTTATGTAAATAGTTTTTATCTTTGATCAGAATATCAGAATGTTTGTTTTTATGACATAAACATGCAAGCCCGTAGAAGATTAAAAAATAGTATTTTGTAAGTTTTTATTTTTGATGTTCATAATGATTTGTATAATACTCTATATAATGAATTTCTCTTTATTTAATTTGATCTTACTTGAAACAAATGTGTTTCACATAATTAAACCTTTTTCTAGAAATAGAACAGAGGATGATTTATCTATATTTTTCTGAGTCAGATATTTGTTTTTCTTTTTCAGTATCAGTTATTCTTTCGATCTATTTTTTAGATAAAGACATTTCTTTTTTTTTAATTTCCTGTTTTTCTTCTGAGTTTCATTTATTTCCATGTATTTTAAATACATGAAGTTATATTTACATATTACTTTTATAAAATCAATATTCAGATATTGAATTAGAAGTTATTTCTCATTATCACAAGAATTTTTTAGCTTCGAACCTTTTCATGTACGGCCATTTCTGCATAGTTTAATATCTCTCAACCATGATTAATTCATTTATTCATCGGTTTACATCTCTATTTATATGACAATTTCTTAGTTATTCATTGTCAAAACAAAATATAAAATACTTATCAATACAATAAGACAGAGAGTGTATTAATTCATTTATTATATCTTTATAATAATGACTTCAACTTTTTCTGTTTGATTTATTAGTTAATATTTAGATTTCAAATAAAAACTCTTTATATTTCCTCTATTACGATGTTTACTTCAAAGAACAATAATAATGAACAAAGATTTGAATCAAATATCTCACCATTACCTCAACGACAATCGCCACCATATGGGGATAAATATAGCGTATGTTATTTTCTTTTCATCTATTCATTTTTTTAATAAAAACATTGCTCAAAATCTTCTTTCTGCTAGCTATCGACTTATATTCATCGTAACAAGTGTATATATCTATATATACTTTTTTCTCGCAGACTAAAAGAATGTAGGATATTCACTTTAATACTCATATTGATTGTTATAGACTGCTATGAAAATGTTTTAGAGAAAAAAAATTTTGTATGGTTAAGATAATTTGTAACGTCATGTTTTTGGATATAAGATTGTATCTAAACAGTTACTTATAGATCTAACATTTGAAATATGACAATAAATATCACGTATATGAATATTGTGAACATGTATTGCATTTAGAAACAAGATACATTCTATAAATGCTATAAATCTCTCTTCACACAAATTTTTCAGTCTGATAAATATCGTATAACTCTATGAAGAAGAAGACTATCTTGTGGTGTAGGGTGCTGTTCAGAGACAGTTTCGAAAGTCCAATATTTTTCCTACAGCTAATCTAGCTGTGGTTCTGAACAGAAGACTGGCTCGACTCGAAGTTCTTTATAATAAGGATCGATTCCTTGACACTATTAATTTTTCTTAGCATGAAAATCTCTGAATAATTCTTTCCTTTTCTTTTTACTGGTTTCATTAAGATTAACTTTTATACTTAAAATTTATCCATACTGGTTATCTATATAGTATGATGCACTATCAAGTTGATTTATATAAGTGAAGTCAAAATTATTTTTGCTCATCTATATTCTAATATATATACTTCAATTAAAATTAAATGATCTCTATTCTTAAAGAAAAAGTAGAGAATTGAACTTCTTTTCTATTCTTGTTGTTTGTTTATAACAGGTATATGATTTGATAATGATCGCTATTGGAACTCTAATGCTTATTGGTATGACATTATGCAGTATGTATTATACTATTCATGGACTAGTAAGTATATGATATAGAACTTTTTTTGTAACATTCTTTTAGCTGTTCTCATACATCCTTTGATCGTGAAACTTAAAAAATTCTATTCTCTATCTGACAGTTTTTCAGCTACTCTATCATTAGATTCTATAAGGAGTAGTAATTATATATATTTCTATCTATTATATTCTAGTTTGCACCTGCTAATACAACATTTCATACTCGATTTGGTGGTTTACCAATTTTTCTTGCATTTTTCATGTCCGACATATATATAATATGCACCACATTGAAATGCTGCATCAATTTTCGCACCCATCTTGTTACCACATTAGTAACAAGTCGAATCAATAGAATTACAAATTGGCATGTAAGTAATCTTACTATCTAGTTTTTATAATGAATTCTTCTTAAAACTGAAACTAAAACTAAAATTTATTACTCTAAATTATATTAATTTGTATCTTCCATATCTTCTTTTATTTCTTTTTTGTAATCTACTTATGTAAGCTTGTAAACTTATTCACAGGTTCAAGGATTTCCTCTGCTGGCGGGTACTTCCTTTAGAAAATTTTTGGCTATGCCACTGAAGAGATGTAAAAAAAAACTACTCTCACCTTATTTTCGTCATAAAACTTTGACAATTAAAGTTCCAAAGCCACATATATATATAGCTCAAGAAATCTGTTGCAAAGCTCTTTCAAAAAACAAAAGAAAAACACTGAATTGTTTCAATAATTTCCTTGTAAGAGCAAATCTATTTGAATAATGCAATTTGTAAAGATGAATTTTTAAATGTATTGATTGTTTACAAGTCTGAAGGGATTTAATGTACTTAAACACTTTATTTTTTTTTTTTGTTAGTACAAATTTTTCTCATTTGATCAATTTTTACAACAAAACTTTCCAATAGTTTCTATGATTAGAATTTATATGCAACGATTGCATCCTATTCCACTGCATAAATAATTTATTTTGATAGACTATACTGTTGAGAAATTCTTAGTTTGTTTACAAACCATATGTAGAAGTAATTTTTATTAGAATTCTAGAAAATTCAAATAAAAAAATATTGTTTGTTTTCGACTATTCAAAATTGTTGTCCTGTAGATAAATGCTTCTTTTTATTTAATACAGTTACTTATATCTATTTCTATACTATTTTTATTTTTTTGATATTTAGGATAAATTATCTCAATCTATAACAAAAGGATTTAAAAAAGTTCGTTTTGTTATTATGCCGAATCATCATTCTCATCAACAAGTTACTGATTCTGTTATAAATCAATCAATTCTTATCGTGTAGATCATTGTTTATATTTGTTTATCGTATTTGTATCGAGTGCAGGATTTACTTTCCGTTGATTATTAGTTGCTATGATTGAATAATTATGTTGTTCGGCTCATACTCCCAAGGTTAGGAGTGAGGATAAGGATGAGGCTGATCTCTTTTTTGTGTTTTTTCTATTTGTACATATATTCATTGTAATTCTGCGTTGTGCTAAAAATACATCGTTTATCGCAATAGCTACTCATTTGCTCTTTTTTTTGTTTTGTCTAAGTAATCAATGGAAAGTAAATCGTGCAAACCTATTTGTATATATATATATATATATATGTTTGTATATTGGCTTTGAAAGATTACTGTATATAATGAATATGAAATTGATATTATTCAATAAATGAATAGTTATTTGTAAACAAAATATAATGATCTATCAAGCAGACTACACTTTGTGTCTTTTAAGAGTAAGTTTCTGAGACTCAGACATCGACGATGGAGTGATATCTCAGAATTCGCTGATTTTTTTATATATTATAGATTATAGTGAGTTTAGTATTCTCTGAAAGTTTCAACTCAATCTGATAACTTTTTCCTGTACAAACAATCGAAATACTAACGAAATTTTTAGTATAAATTTTTTATTATCTTTTAATTAATTTTCAGCTGGTTTTATTCAGTAAAAGTGACTTTCTCATTTCAAATTTTGAGACTTTTGACTTTTCGTTTTTCTAACTATTACTATCGAGGTATTGTTCTTCTGCATACAAAATTTCAGAAGTTTTCGTCAATCCTATAAGAACTTCTGAAATACCATTAAAAAAGCCTTTCTTACCCTTTTTCTATGTTTCTTTACCAAAATGTCTCTCAATCGCATTTTATGCCCCAACAACCAATCGCTGTGTTATTTCTACCGGTGATAGAGCTCATCAAGGCCTACCATCTAGAATGTCTCACAATTTTGTCCCTTGAAAAAAGTAAACCACTTTTGATTAAAAGTTAGTTTTTTCTCCCATTCACGTTATATGAGCCAGTCCATATAAGCCACGACCGAACTTGCTCAATCGAGGTCGTCAGATTTTGCTCAATTTAAGATATATTGTAGAGGGAAGAATTTTAACAATTTTGACGCAAGCCGTTTTAAAAAATATTGAACTCTCGATTTTTTATGGGCATTTTACGACATAGTCCTCAAAATGACCAGTTCAACCAATGGGGGTCCTGATGGAGCCATATCTCAAGAAAGGCTCAACTGATTGAGTTGAAATTTTCTGCAAACATATATGTCGATGAGTCCTATTCATCATAAAATTTTTGTTTCAAAATATTGAGCTGTTCGGATTTTATCAATCGCTCAATATATGCAAAAATCGTCATTTTTGACAACTTGGGTACTTCATAACTTTTGATTGGAATGAGATAGAGATTTGAAATTTTTCCTGTAGATAGAGTACTTAAAGATGTATCTTTTCTGAAAATTTCAGCTCTGTACATTGTTCCATTTGGTCAGGAGGCTCCTCTCAAAAATGGGTTTTGGGCGAAAATCGGGATTTTTACGAAAGGCTATCTCCCAAGAAATGGGGCAGTATGAGAACTGGCCTATAGAAGTTGGAAGTCCTCTCTTTGGTCTACAACCCTACAAAAAAATTGGCGTGGGCTCTCAAGGAATGGTCCTAGGAGACTTAGTGCAAGATATCGAAGAATGAGCCCTTTCTATAGGAAATGCAACCATGTTCCCTTAGAAATTACTCAAAGAGTCTCATCATAAGAGATAAATTCTACCTAGTAAAAATCAGCATACGATCCTCTATTACCTCCAATAGGGTGGGGTGTAGGTGTGGGTCGGTATCGGTGGGTGTGGGTGTGGGTGTAGGTGGGGTGTGGGTGGGGTGTGGGTGTGGGTGTGAGTGGAGTGTGGGTGTGAGTGTGGGTCTGTGAATGTGGGTGCTGCTAAAGAGAAGAATGAAACGCACAGCCACACACCCACATCTAAACCCACACCCACACCGACGCCCACACCCACACCCACCCGCACCCGCACCCACCCACACCTACACCCACACACATACCCACCCATATCCACACCCACACCCACCCCACACACCCACAAGTCTACAGTGAAGGAAACCACATACCCACACCCATACCCCACATTCATACCCGACACCCATCCACCCACCCACATCCACACCCACCCGCCCACACCCACACCCCATCAGGTTCGAATAACTTTTATCAATTTTTTGTCTGTATTCGGAACAATATTCGACGAACATGAAAGTAGAAAAAAACGACTATTTTAACAGTTTCACAGCAGCCATCTATTGTCAATATTTGCGCAACGTGATTTCATTTCACCGTCATAAAGAAAAAGTTTGTTATATGACAAACAATAAAAATCTCTGCTACTTACCTCTTTTCTACTGACATTTATCTCAATACAATGTTCGATAACACCATACCATCCTTCATCACATTATCCATCGAGATCATGTATCGGATCTTCGATTATCTTCCAGTCGAAGATATTATCTTGTCTGCTCGGAACGTCTGTCAACGATTTGACAACGTCATCGATACATACCAGCCTTATCAGGTAGATGAGTGATAATTTATTCCAAACAGAAATCTGTATTGACATTCGATTTTCATCGACAAGCCATATATCCACATATTATTCCCAATCATTTATCAGAGCACTTTATTAGCAGGGAAGAAACAAATGGCTATGAGAAAGGAGATTATTGTTGAATTGGGTGTGGGTGTGGATCATTTCTTCACCGACACCCACACCCACCCACATCCCCTATCTTCGAAGACTCACCCTCAAGATAGTTTACTTTGAAAGCACATATCACTATTTCATTGTCCGTTATGTCGAAAGACTTCAGTTACAAAAAATTGAGAAAGCTATCTGTCTGTATTCCTGCACTACCATAATTTAGACTGAAGAGCTTCGGCTGCTTGTTAATTGCCGACTCATTGATTTTATGATGATAAATGTCCTTGGTTTTCGACAGTTATATACTTAATGAAATTTAAGCACAGAATACGAAAAAGGTACAGAATTAGAGTATATGAAATCTTCAAATGGTCTAATAAAATTCATGATCTGTTTCTTCGAATATACAATTGAATATCATCGGCTAAACAGTGACCATCCTCGTCTTTGGCAACTTGCAATCGTAATTGACGCGATAATACGGGAACTCTCCTAGAAATCGTGATCTGTTCCCAAACATATCCGTTTGTCGTCACACGATAGGCTAAATAAATGAGATAAAAATTATTGATCAACACATGAAAGCATAAATTTTTCACAAGAAAAGAAAACTTACCTATATTCAGTAGTGTATTCCAAGCTGCTCCGAAAAAGCCTCCAGTAATATCAAGGCCACCTTTTTCACAAGATACATTCAGAGAAAGCGTATAGTTGATTTCGTTACTATCTGTAAACACTGAAAAATTACTTATGTCAATTTCTTGATACATAGCAACAACTTTGCTATCTTCCTTTGTGAAATTAAAAGTACAGTCATGATTAGAAGGAGCAGTAATCTGTGAAGACAAGCTGAGAGTTGGATATGAAGAATCCGGGCCAGTGAAGGCTTGCCAATGAGCGATATGATTTTCATTTAATGAAGATTTGCACTGAAAGAAAATCGAAGAAAATGGTAATAATTCATATGAAACCTACAATGTTATGCAAAAGTTGTAGCAAGAGTAAGCTAAGGAGGGAACAGCTGATTCCATGATTCTATGAATTCATTGACTCATTGAAATAATCTATTTCGTTTATAATATTGACGGCAATGCCCATATGATTTCATAGGCTGTATAAACTCTGTTGATTTCAAGACATCGAAATCAAAATGGAATCATTCATATACCCTTAAATTTAACTGATGTTACCTGTTACTCTCCCAATTCATTGAGAATGATGCGAAATTATTCGAAGTACATTGAAGTCAACCGTAGCTAGTAGGATTAGTAAAATCAAAAGAATCTATGAACGAAATGAGTTACTATGATCACCAAAATCAATTGATTCAATGAAATAGTGTAGAATGACTCAGAATCATTCCACTCAACAAGACTTGTGAAACTAATGAGATTAACTCAACAATGGTTTTTGCTGCTGAAAAAAAACCGTCTTTCGCAATTAGAAAGTATCTTGTTTATAACTTTTTCTGAAGCTAGCAAGAAAACTGCAGTTCTCGCGGTTGAAATAAGCGTCAAAAACTGCATTGAAAATAGGATTTCTCATCATTGACGCTATAATTTTTGCATAACGCTGTAGATTGTAAAAGAATTAATGCAATATTAAGAAGAAAACCTGCAAATGGAAAATACATACATTTGTTTCAGCATCACCGTTCAATACCAAATTGCTACGATTGATTAACCATGTTCCGTTAGGAAGTATGACGTTGTTCAATTTCACGTCACCACGATTTATTCTTTGACGCAGTAACACACCAAGTGAAGCATCTCGCATGTCAGCATTGAAGAATGTTATAAGTAGAGGTGATGTTGTTAGACGGATGTGAAAATCTGCTCGTGTCAGATTGGTATTATGAAACTGTAGAATACCTTGAACCCACGTGTCATTAAAATTGCTGTAAGATAAATCAGCATCATCGAATCTAATATCACGCAAAAACGCACCACTAAAATCAACTTCTCTCATTTTGGATCGATCAAACCAAACATTAGTTGTATTTCTCAAAGACGAATCCTTGTAAGACTCGTCGGCCCATGAGAATCGTGAATGTGTGAATTTCATACCAGTCATAGTCGAATCACGAAAGTCCGCGCCATTGTTAAAATCACAACCAACAAACAATGCATTAGTAAGATGTGTTGATTGTAACCGTAAGTTATTAAATTGAAAGCTTCTAAAAGGCAAACCATCGATTAAAACGTTTTTGAAGTTTGCGCGTGATAGATCCATCGTGTGTACAGAGGTATTTGGTAGAATTTGATTTTCATAGAGAAAAAGAAAAAGACGAGTCTTGCGTTGCCAATCTAAATCGTCCAAGGCTGCTAAAGTTTTACTTCGTATGTAGTTTAACCTCATTTTATTATCTGAAAATGAGACGGATGAATTTAATTTGAAGAGAACGTTTGAAATGTCTTCAATGTAAGTTTTGAATACGTCTTGATAATGTAATTCATTCGCTTGTTCCTGTTCCATCTTATAACGCCGATCGTCTAATTCCCGTTCCTGATTCTGTCGTCTAGTATCGGCACGTTGCTGTAGAATCGTTATAACGACTGTCCCTAAACCAATTGAGAGTGGAATTAGAGCTCCAAGAGCGAGATTTAACCATGTTAACCAAGGAATTTTACGTTTGGATTTCTTTGTTGCAATTGTGGACAGTGGCACAACCGACTTTTGTTTTCTGCGTAGAAAACGAAACATAGTTCAAAGGTCTTCTTTTAAGATATAGTCGCCTTAAAATAAAAAGATTCTTTTGCGTGCAAAAAGAGAGAAGAGAATTATTTAAATTGATTCTTTATCACAATTTACAGAGATTAGATATCAGAGATTGAATAACGATGAAAACTGTTTGACAGATAATTAGAGAGAAAATGCACTTTTTAAAAAATCATCATTAACGCCAGTACCTGTTTATTCCGCATTTTTTGTGTCAATATGAAATGTGATCTTGCTTTAATTTGTCATTTGTATGTTTGTCGCAAGAACTATTGTGATGAAAATATAACACGTACCAAGAGTTTTTTAAAACAAAAAAATGATTCCAAAGATTAACACATTCGCAGCGCTATGAGTTATCAATGAGCTACAATGTATTTCAGTTAGACAAATAATCAAAACTAATTAGTTCCTTTTTTCTAAACAGGAAATGATGCTTAATCTCTTACGTTTTCAGTCTTCGACACTGTTTGAATCAGCTCTTCAACCTCGCCCTCACCATCAATAAAATTGAACACTAAATCAGATGGATCAGTCTGAAACTCGTATCGATTTCATCGTTGGAGTAGATCTCATATGCATTGACATTTATGGAGTGATATCTTACTGGAACACGATGCGAAGGAGAACAAGTGACGTAATGTCGTGTAAAATGTGAGGCATGTTAAACTTTCTGCAGTTGATGCTTTGATTGTAAAGTAAACTTTAAGAATCCAAGAAGATACTGTACAAATAGGAGAAATATTTTATTATATCTGTAACGATTTTCTTACACGATCATTTATCCACTTTTACTGTTATAACTATGACCAGGTTTCGTATGTCATGCAAAGCCTTATATATGAAGAGAGAGAGAGAGAAGAGATAATCTAAATATGAACATAGAGGAGACAAACAATAAACTAATCAATAATACACAGTCACTGTAGAAAGAAGGCATAGAAGAAATGACAACTGAGTGATAACACACCAGGAACAAACAAACAGTGAAATCAAGGGATGAGATCCAGAAGGTGATACATAACTAATAAACTGGGAGTGTCACACAACTGAACTAGAGAAAGAAGAGATAGACAACATATGACAAAAGAGTGGCAACATATCAAGAACAAACAGACAGGGACATCAGGAGAGGGTGTGTGGGTGTGAGGGTGTGGGGTGTTGGTGTGTGAGGGTGTGTGGGGTGTGGGTGTGTGAGGTGTGGATGTGGGGTGTGGGCTGGGTGTGGGTGGAGAAGGGTGTGGGTGGGGAGGGTGTGGGTGTGAGGGTGTGTGAGAGTGAGGGTGTGGGTGGATGTGGGTGAGGGTGCAGAGATGATCCACCCTCACCTTCACACTCTCACCCACACCACACCCACACCCACACCCACACCCACACCCCACACCCACACCCACACCTACACCCAAACCCACACCCACACCCGCACCCACACCCACAGCCACACCCACACCCACCCACACCCCACCCACACCCACACCCCACCCACACCCACACCCACCCTCATCTTGGTAGTCTTTCTTTATACATTGTGTAAGTACAGTGATATTTCGCTGCTGTTAACAATTTACAATTTATATTCTCAAAAGTCGCTCATTCACTTATATTATTTCATTATTTTAATGTTTTGCCAATACAGAAAATCATACAAAAAGACCTAGAAAAGTATCTTTAGGGAATAGAAGATAATAATGTAAACAATTTACATAAATTATTCTGAGGGTGGGATGTGAATGTGCTCGATTGCAGAAGAATAGCCCACATATACCCCACACCCACACCCGCATATTATGTATTGACGATTCGAAATAGTTGAGTATGCGTTAGAATAAGCTTATAGTAGTAATATACATATAATATGACTTGCTTGATCATGCCCCATTTTCTCCGTCTTCTACTCTACATTACGACCAAAAACACAATCTGGTACTAGATATCAATGTTTAGATTGTAGTGTAGGCTTATGCATTGCTAATGGTTTTCGAGACTATCATACTCTGAAATCATATTAATCAACTTGAATGAAAAATACAATCATTTGGTTGTTGAAATTTTTTTTAGTGTTTTGTTTTCTCAAAAAACATAAATAATCCCATTCCGAAAGGATTAATCAATACAATTGTCAACATTACTCAAGACTTTTCATGAAAAAATTAGAAAAAACATCAAGTTAAAATCCACTAAAAGCATATGCTTTTAATCCACGTTTAATCCTCCTCTTGTAACCATTGTAGTCAAAATGAACCAAAAACAAATCAAAACTCATTGATTATCCTGATTAATTTCGACTATAGTCGATAAAAACTTGATGAAAAAAATTGATTGTAATGGACTTCATTCAATACAAAACGGTTAAAGATTTTTTCATTTTTCTATATTTTTAATCAGTTACAATCGAAATTAATTCGAAAAATCAATGAAACTTTGTTTTTTTTCAGTTATTTTTGACCATAATCATTTTTTATCCAAGTAAGTCTCATTATTACTCTAATTATTTTACATGAATTGAGAGTAATTAAAATTATTAATAATTTTCATGCCTTAAATGATGCATACTCACATCCAGCATCCACAAGCCACCGTCAACTTTACCCTTCTGAATAATGTAAAAGGCATTTATCTTCATCTTTAACTTGTACTGAGCTAATGGTTACGTTTTCTCTTCTCTTTCCGTCTTGATTTTTCTTCTCACGTTTGTTGATTTAATAACGAGGAAGAACGACAACAATAGAATAATGTATGTGCTGATAAAAGTAGTGATCGATGTATAAGAATGAACTGAGAAAAACTTAACATAGTTACTTCGTGTTTACATAAAATATGCTTGATAATACTAATATGGAGCGTTATCTAAATTTCTTGACAAGATATATTGAAGATGATTACCATTTTAGAGAATAAGAAATAAAATGTAGTTGTTTCAGTTTTTAAATACTATTTTCAGCTGTTCAGGTTTTAAAGATTATCATTGATCATTCAACGAAAAATATATCGTGTTACATATGTATACGCACTCGCCATATAAGAGAAAATGTAACTTGCAGATAAATACATAAAAAATCTGGTGTAGAATACTCTATCAATAGTAAGTTTTAGACGTAAAGAGCTATGAAATACAGATATTATAATTTAATCTATCCAAAATATCAATTAAATCAGTATAATAACTATTTCAACTTAATCAAATCTACTGAAAAATTCAAAAAAAAAGTCAATCAACTTAAAATGATCGATATTTATAACCGTTTTAACTTTTGCCGTTTTTCTCAGCTATTATCTTTTTAAAAATAGTCTTAACTCCCACATTGACTGTGGAGTCTGTAAAAGTGTATTATGACTTGTTAAATGTAATAAATTGAATGAAGATGTTGTTAATTGAATGCACTAGTGCGAATGAAATGTAAATGCTTGTATTAACACTTGCACAAACATCATCATCACCATAAACTTATAAAGCTCTTCCTTGTTTTCCAAGCACATCAATCATATTATGTGACCATTCAGCATGTCTCTTTTATGCTTGTCTAAAACATTGTTCATCAGCACAAATAATAATTTGATCACCAAATATAAATGAATGAATATCAAGTATTGAACCTGGATAAGATGTCCATTGATTTTGTTGGACTAATAATAATAATAGTTGATCTTAATTATTTTTATCATGAATATGAAATTGTACCCTCATATCATCGCTTTCTGTAACACGACGAATATTACATACCGTCTACGAGATACCACCAAAGTCAGCAGAAGTTTTGAATAAGTGTTAATAATAAAATCAGAAAAGTAAATAAGGTAGACCAGTCGGTCTGAAATCCGTACCACTGCTGATTCGGGCTCTACCATTTTTTGAGTAACTTTTCCTGTTTTTTTTTTACTTGTGAAAAATAGAAAGCACACTTTGAAGCAAAAAAAAAGAAATAATTATCAATTACATTTTATTGATATGAATGACATTAATCACAAATAAGAACGTAGAGAAAATATATCAAACTATCTTGTTCGAATCTTTTTCTAAAATCAACGAAGAATTTATGTTTCTTTCTTTTACAAATATGAATGTCATCATTATTATAATAGACAGTAACATTTGACTGAAATTGAACAATCCTAATACAAAAACTTCCTGCGGATTAACAAAAATAGAAGCAAATGCTATTATTATTGGAACATAGCCAAGAGCGGAAACTCGGCTAGTTCTGACAAACAATACATTAATTAAAAATGTGTTATACCAAGACATAATATAAGCAATAACTTGTAAATAATTTACATTCGAAGGTATAATACGACAATTTTCATGAATTAGAGCAGGAAAATTTTTCAACCATTGATATTCTTGTAAAAGTTTATTATCACAAACACTATTGTTTATATTTTTCATAAATGATTCAGATTCTTGTAACATTCGAAACATGGGATTATCATTTATTAAACGATTATCGTTTATTGCATCACTATAAAATGTAATCATAAATCCCAAAAACACGATTGATACAGAAAATAATACAAATGCCATGACAAGACTAATATCATTTGCATCATAAAATGATTCTATACATTGATTATTTCTTGACTGTACTTCCATCATAGTTTTTAGATGATTTAAGATATTTAAAATAAATAGACAATAATTTGTCTTTCTTTGAAATAATAAAATGTGAACTGGTTTGAATGATGGATCATAAACAATAGACTTCTAAATTCATCGTCCAATTAGACAACAGTAACAGAATGGATACTAAATGAATATCTACATCATCATAAAATATATTTCAGATACGAAAATCATAACAGATTTATTAGTTTATCAATAAATAATTGACACAAGAATAAATGGTGTTATAGGGCAATGACATCTATGACAGTGTTGAAAATGGAAAACTGCAACTCCCGTTAATGAGAATGGCTCTCTAATCGCGGAGAATATGACACTAGCACTTTTAATCTCTAACCACACCAATTCACCGTGCTATGAAAATGTACTTATACATTTTAGTAGTTAGTTATCTGAATGATCCAATTCTTTTTGCCAAGAATAATCTTGAGTCTGACTTCGTCAAAGGTTTGCAACAGCAGGTGTACCAAGCAGCAATAAAATGTACAGAACATCTGCTGTTTCTGACTTACACGTTGTTCAGAAACAGTAGAGTGTAAATCGTGTGCTTTACTGAAGAAATTCACATATTGATATTTAGTTGTAGTTAAAAGGCGGGATATCGTATTAAATAAAACATTTTGTTTTGATCATGGTGGATTGTAATCTCGTTCAGCCGAATGTATCTTTAGCTAGATAAAGGGTGTAATATAAGTTCTGATTCCTTGATGAAATTCTTTTTTTCTTACATGTTCTTAAAGTGAAAGAGGCTGGTATTTATGGTGTAATTCTAGATGTCTAGATCTACTGTAGGCTAGGATGTGGATGTAGATAGTCATTGCAAGATCCACACCCACACTCGAACTCATTATGAATAAAATTGATTCGATATTGGATTTAGGATTCAACATTTGTAATGAACTTGTTCAAGAACTATTTATCAGAGATGATGGATGAATATTAATGTGGTTTTGTTAATCACTCCTTATTAATATTATGGGTAAAACGGTTTTTCATTCAGATATTATCAAGAATCGAGATTTAAAAAAAATCGGTCTTATTCACTCTAGATGAGATTGCATTCATTAATATCATGACTATAATCGTAAAGAAAATGATTGTTGAGCTAATCAGTGTGGGCTCACATTTGAATTTCAATTTTGACCAAATGAAATTATGCGTGACAACATGCAAATAACAATTATGTTTATATTTATAGATTTTATTCCGAATATATATGATGATGACACTGAAAAAAAGACGAGAGTGAGAGAAAAAAGTTATTGATCTAGTCTTTGTTTTTTTATTTGTATAGAGAGAGAGATCATGTAATGTCAATCTTTTGTTATTGAGTGTGAATAAACATACAAAGAAAACAGTCTTTATTTCATTTTTAATCAAGTTCTAAGTTAGTTCCTTCTTTTTACATAGATTTTTAGAGAAAGAAAAATAATTTTTGTCTTAATTTAATGTAGAAAATTTGTTCTGAATAAAATTAATTAGTCCTCAAATATTTTATGACATAAGTATGAAATTCTTAAATAGCAATTAGTAGCGTGCGTTTTTCGTACTATTGAAAAAAAACACAAATGATAAAATATAATATGTTTAGTTTCTTTTGTTAACATATTTAGCTGAGATCTATTCACCTAAATAATGCCATAGAAAAGCACTTTTAAATAGAATCAATATCAAATTTTAGTTTTTAGGTACTAATCAAACGTTCTTTTCTTTTGCAGATCGATTCCATTTAATAATATATATCAAACGAAGTCTTTACTTGGTGCTCTTTTGACAATGTCTGCATTTTATTTGTTAAAAAAAAGTTTCATTTTAAAACATCTAGCATAATTCTATCCACAAATAAACTAATATGAGTCTAACAAGAATAATATCAAATAGATTTCGATCAATAGATATAACAGTAATAAGTGTAACTATGATTCTGCTTTGTAATTGAATATATTACATGTTGAAACTTAACATATTATTTCTAATTATAAAAGTATTTTAAATAACAATATTAAAAATGATCATCCTTCAATTGTGAAAATTATTTTGTTTGATGGTTATACTCTAAGAGCTACAATAAATAGGACAGTATATTGTTAAGATATTGATTTTTATACTTTTCTTGAGACTTTTGGATTGTTTATTAATTAAAAAAAGAAATAAAATCAATTTATTGATTATTAATTATAATTTAATTGAATAATAGTAATAATTCTTCTTCTTTTTCAATAATCACTTTCATTGTTATTGTTTTTTTGATTTGATTATCTTGATTTTTCTCTTTTTAATTAATCTTGATAAATTTTACTCTATATAGAATAACTGATTTATTGTATTAAAATATTATTGAAAGGATCATTTGTTGTAGCAGCTTGAATTTCGCAATAATAATTTTCTCTAATATGAAGAATTAAATACTAATAATAAAAATTGTAAAAGCAAAAGAGTTGTTTGAACAGGATACTACTATCGAGCTCAATCATTTACAACTGTTATTGCACTATCAACACATTTCAGAATAAAACATTTTTAGTTTCTGATAACTTTCATGGTACATTCATCATAATTAAATCGATCTACTTGTACTATTTGATTCATTTTTATAAAAGCATTCTTTAGCAAGCTCGAAAAGATAGAAATTCTTCTGAAAATCATTTATAAAAAGTATCGACTACGAATAGAATATTGGTTTTCGAAATATGGAGAATTTATTACCTGATTTACATTACTTAGAAATGTAACTTAATCTAAAATAAAAATTGAAAAAGAAATATCAACAGAACTTTTTTTTTCAATTAGATATTATTAACTGAAAATACCTATTAATATATTTTCTATAATTTATTATTAAAAGAAATAAATATAAATAAGTAGTATTCTTCAATAAATAAATATTTTTATCAGTTTATTCATTTTATTAAAAATAAATAAAACGTAGATAGTAAAACATTTTTTTTATTCTTTTCGTTTATTCAAAATAAAGGACAATAAGTGGAAAAAAAAGTGATATTACATTTTATTCTTATGTATTAAAAATTATAATAAATTTATCTGATATTATTCGAGTTAGTTAAATAAAAGAATAACAATGTTAATTAATGATAGAGTAAGTATTTTAAAAAGAAATTAGAAAAGCATTTTATTCTATAACTAGAAATAAATATAGATTGAAAAGATAAATTATTTTTAATGATGTTTAGCAATTGAGTTTAACTTCGACATGATCAAAATTGTTTCAACAAAAAAAAATTGCTTAATAATTATAATATTGGCATCTTGTATAATAATTAGTCTTACAATAAAAACGATAAAATTTTCTGTTTTAGGAAATCCTTCAAAATCTTTATCAAATTCGATTGTCCTATTTGTTTATCTAATGATGGAAAATATATTCAATGGATATTTTTACAATTAAATGATGTTTATGAAATGCTTTCATTAGATCAAGGACGAAAAGCTAGTGGTTTAGCTCTTGTTTGAAAATTATTATTAGAAGAAAATCGTCAAACATATATAGTTTTAGTTGATGATTTTCTTTCACTATCAGCATTAAGTCAATCAAAAATAAATGAAAGACAAATGATTGCATCTATGAATACATTAGGAATAGATTTCGTTATATTTGGTAATTAAGAATTTGATTTAAATGAAACAGAATTAATATCAAAAATAAATGAATCAAAATTTACTTGGATTAGTTTTAAATATATTTGAAAGTGGAACAGATTAATCATTTTTATTAACAATTCATTAAAAAATATTATCAACTAATGAAATAAATATTCTTTTAATTGGTTTAACAATCGATATAGATAAACCATATATATTCGTATTATTAATCAAACATCACTTATTCCATTTGTTCAAAAATTTCTGAAGTCAATATCAAATATAAAATATGATGTTTTAATTACATTAACAAATTTAGATTTGAGAATTGATATACAACTTGCAGAAAATATATCAGAGATTAATTTAATATTAGGTAGACATGAATATGAAGATTTATTTTTTATCACGAAGTTTTCAATATATTCCAATAACCAAAATGAAAGCAAATGCATTTACTGTTTATATTCATTGATGTGCTTTTAATCTTAATACAAAACAATTTTGTGTTTATCAAATATTCGCACAAGTAAAGTCACAAATAGAAAATAAACCAAAAACAGCTGAAGTTGTTAATTATTGGTATAATTTAGATATAAAAGGTTTTGAACGAATCAGATTTCAACTTAATAAAACAGTATCTTGTTTACCAGCTAATATTGAATTAGATGGACGTTCAACATCAATAAGAAATTTTCCAACATTATGAACGGATTATGCAAATAATACAGGATCAATACGTATTAATGATACTGTTCAAGGAAGAATAACATAATATGATATATAACGTGTATTTCCTTTTCAAGATAATCTTGTTTCTCTTTTTGTACCTCGTTCATATCTTGCTAATATATTATGTGTTGGTATATCAAAGAAAAGGTAATAGAATGTTTCTTGCATATTGTGAAATTCAAAGTATAGATCAAGAAAAAATTTGGTTAGTAGATGATTTAGATATTTCAAAAATGAATTTTAATTATTCTCTTGGTAAAATAAATTATCTTAAAGATACAGAACTAAACAAACCATCTGTTACTATTATGCAGCAATTCAATAAAACACAAATATAAAGTTTAATTGAGTATTTACAAGGAATATATCTCCACCATGTTAATATTTATATGAACAAATTCTCGCATCAAATTTTCTAATAATTATTAGTAAAATAGGTTCATTTTTTTATCGGATTTAAAATATGAAATAAATAATAAAATATTTTTCTACTGCTACTAATTCATATACAGAATATTTTTTTTTCTCGATTTGTATCATTTTTAATGATTAACTGCTATAAGAAATTAATTATCTAGAAAATCCTTTTCAGATAAAACAACCTTAAAATGATTTTTTTAAGAATACTGGTAAATTAATTTTTTCGTTAGCTATGAAATTTTTCCTATTAGAATGTTTATCATCTTAATTATTGTTAGTTGGTGAAAATAATGTCTAATATCTAATTGAGTAGAAAATATAGATTCATCTTTACTATTATCATTTAAGTATTAATTCTGTTTTTATATACGATTATATTTACTTTTCTGCAATATGATATGAAACTTTAATTCGTGACTCGATCTATACAGCTCAAAAACAATTTTTTATTTCACATAATTATCTGATTTTGTCATACCTATTAATCAGATGTGATATAAATAAAAAATAAACCAATAATGTTGTTCTTTTGTTTCTTATCCTATTTTTATTTAAATATATATTTTAAAATAAGTTTATCAAGCAAAGATCTCTAAGAAATTCTCATAGAAAATATATATCTACTTTTATGTGTTAGAAAAATTAGTGTTAGTATAGATTTAATTCTGAATGTGAATATAAATATATCTGCCACTTTTAAATCAACATCTTAATTGAATTATGAATAAATGAATATCGCATCACAATGAAGGTATCTGTAAGTTTGCACACAGAGACTTTTTTTAATCTAATGTCATATGTTTTATTCATTTTTATTGCATATTGTTGTAATCTCAATCGAGAGTCACACATTAATTGTATTCTGTTGTTGCCATGAGGAAGATAAGATCTTATATTAAAATTTCGATTTTATGCATTAGAATTTCTTAATAGAGACATCATAATAGCTGTCAAATATGTATGATCGTGAGATACAATATTCTTTTTCGAACTTTTATATCATGTTGGGTGTGGGTATCAACACAGCATCTACACCCACAGCCACAGCCACACCCACCCACATCCTCACTCACACCAGCCACACCCACACCTATCCACAGCCACACCCACACCCTTACATCCTCACCCCTTTAAGAAGGTCGATTGATTTGCTCGTATCAGTCAAATCTGTTAAAAGTATTTCCTTAATAGCAACAAAAATCATTTCTATTAAACTGCATTTACCAATAAATGGATTTATAGAGCTCTTTTTTTTCTATTTTTATTTGGTATACCTGTTTATTTAGTTCGATTGTTTTTAAAATTACAAATAAAAATTAACATGTTACTATTATTTGTTCTTTATCATTAATGTTTTGAATTTTTTTACGATAATTATTAATCATATTTGCTGATTCATACCATACATCTACCCCAAATTCGTTATGACGTTGTGTTAATTCAATTGCCTTTTGATAACATTTTTTCGCATTTGTATAATCTTTCATTTGTTCATATATATCTGCTAATTCTTCATAAATTTTTGAACATTTTTCATCCATTTTTTGTGCTCGTAGACAAGAATATAAAGCTAAAGGAAATTTTTTTTGTTGTTTACGAATAGCGACTACATCAAGACAAAATTCCTTTGTCAATCGAATTCGATCTTTTTCATCTTCTGTATTTTGAAGATGAACTTCATGAGCATTTGCAAGCCAATGAAAAGATTGAGTAAATTGATTATTTTCTTGATAACAACGAGATAAACATTTCATATAAGAATAGTCAGTGTACACATCAAACAGTTCACCTTCAGTTGCTTTCGGGCAACTATCAATTGCTGCTATAAAGTAATGTAATGCTAAATCCATTCGTTTTAATTGACTATATAATATTCCTAATCGTGCGTATAAGATATCACTGTATTCAACTTTCTTATTCGAAATTACATAATTGACAAAATTTTTATTCTGTTCCATAGAACGAGATGCAAGTTGTCTATTAATTTGAACTGATTTATCAGCATCATATTCTATGCTTAGAACCTGATCTAAGAAACTATAAGCGCCAATTTGTATATTACCTGTAGAATTTTTATCTAGCCATGTACCAAAATAAGAACCAAATGATAGATTAGATTCTTTTATTCGTTCTATTGAGTCAGATATTTGAATAACTAGATTGAATTGACCATGTTCTTTCCAAATACGAGCAGAGTAAAGTAATCGATCAAGAATTTCACTAATTGTCCAAGGATAAAAACAAGAAAAATTGATTTTACTTTTTAACATATTTGTATAATAATTAATTGTTTCGTTAATATTGTTTTGTAAATAATAAATTGATCCAATACAATTAAAAATAATAAGTAAAATACAACATGAATAATGATCAGATCCAACTTCAGTAGATTTAATTATATTTTTTTGAGAATAAAATTTTAAAGCTTTCTTTTGATATTTGAAAGACAATTGATAACGTTTTTGTTCAAGTGCCAGTAAACCAAGACCTACATAATAACCTCCAATACTAAAAGCATATGGTATGAACTGTCTTAATAGAAAATAATAATTTGATATTTTTCTATAATCTGCTGAGGTTTTTATTGTTGATTGTAGTAAATATCCTATTTGAATAAATGTACTTTCAATCATATTCGTCAGATTTATTTGACATTGTCTTGTATCTTCATTTTTGCCCTCTCCTTCTGGATCACACCAATCTGATTGTTCAGGACCGTAGTGATCAAAAGTAAGATCAATAAACCAAGTTTTTCTTTCTTGATCATATTTAACTTTGTTAATTACAAATGCATTACCCATTGTAAATAAAATTTCATTTTCATCCTTATTATAACTAACTTCTTTGACATCAGCATACAATCCAAAATATTCATCATTATCATCTTTTTTATCTAAATTAATTTGAAAAACAACTGACTGTTCACTATTTTCAATTGAATAATTATCAGCACCAGCAAAGATTAATGCAGTATCACGATCAATTGTTGTTGAAAAAAATGCATTAATATATATATAACGTTTAGTTTCACTAAAATTTAAATAATTAATTTCATCTTTTGTTATTATTTGTCCACGATAAGCAGTTTTTGGAATATTTTGTTTTTTTACTTTACAAATTGAACCAATTTGATGAAATAAATCATAAATAAAGAAATGAAGTAATAAAATAGTATCAATATCTTGTTCTCGTAAAGCTTTATTTAAACAATGATAAAGAAAACAATCTCTTGTATACCATCGAATTGCATTTGAATAATTATATTGTTCTTCAAATTCAGTAAGAAGTCGTTGATTATATTCATTGTTTTGATAAATTCGACGAAATTGTTCAATGAATCGTTGTTGACAATCAGGAGCATATTTAATTGAACATAACATTTTCATTAAATATTGAAACCATGATGTGGATGGTAAATCCTCATTATCCCATAAATAATTTCTAAATACCGCTGTTGATTGTTTATTCGGAAATTTATCAGTTGAATTTTTATGAAATGTTCGTGTATCAATCATCAGTTGAGTTAACAGATCTTTTATATTGTTAAATGTTTTAGAAAATAACCAAGTAAACTATAAAATAATTTTGGAATAATTTCGATAAATAATAAAGGATATTTTTTACCTGTTCAAAATTGTTCATCGACGAATGATCCGTTTCGTTTTCTTTGTAAATATAGACACCATACGATTGAGAGGAGCTAACTAAATTTATTAATAATGATCGATTTAATTTTATTGGAATAATTAAATATATTATTTTGTTTTGAACATTTTTAATAAATTGTTCACATTGTAAAATATTGTTGAATGTTTCAATATGTTCGAAAATACTACGAAGTCGTCCTCGAACTATAGGATCTTTTTTTATTTCATCAACATTGTCATCAATCCAAATAATTGTATAGGAAATATTGTTACTATTTTCAAGAATATCGGTCTCTAAACCGACTTCTTCTATTTCAGAATATTTTCGCTTCTTATCAGTCAGCAATGGCATGATATAAACGAGCAACCAATCTTAAACTAAATGAACAAGGATGAAATAATAGAAAAGATGAAAGGACATATTAGTATCTGAAGAAAAAAAAGAAATTTTTTTTTGTATAAAAACATAACAAAATTCTGTATTGTAAACAGAATCAAATTACGTTTACAAACGCTTCATACCAAATCCCGAAAAAGTAATTCATTCATTTTTTCTAGGTATTCTTGTCTTGTATCGTATTGACATCATTATTACGTTTATCTTTTTCTATTACATCCGTTGCATATAATGAATCACGTGTATTTGTTATGATGCGGCATCTATATGATTAAGTTTGGCCATCTTCTTTCTGTTTCTGTCGTGTCATATCTCTTTCTTCTTTCTTTGTCTTTAGGTCGTATGAAGTGAGCCTAAGGTTTCAAACAGACAAAAAACTGATCAATATTCACTTTGTTTTAAGTCAACCGTCGTCCACACTAAGATACTAAATCACTAATGAGAGTGTAGGGCGAGTCTCTCTGATGTAGCCTAAGTGCATAGTAGAAAATAATAATGCATAGAGAAGCATCGCTATCATACGTATGCACATGATAACAGAGTACTATCAAACGAGTTGCTAGAAATGTAAGATTTCTTGAATCAGTACTTATGAGAAGTTAATTTGATTTTCTAACAACACCCATATTGATCTTCAATATAACATTACCTATAGAAAATTATTTTAACAAATTCCAAACAAATTCATCAAAAATAAACAAGTATTTATTGATTTATTATGATGAAATAAAACCAACAGGTTTATCAACTAATTGACATAACAAAAAACCAACAAATTTTGCATAACAAAGTATGACAAAAAGCAAGAAGATAAAGATGAAACACATGGTACAAAAAATAAATAGTAAAAGTTTACAGAGAATTAAGTAGAAAATAATTAACAAGTGCTTCACGTACATCAGTACCATCATTTGTATGGATGTTACGTGAAGGTTTTTGGTGGATGTGGATGTGGCTAGGGTGTGGATGTAGGGATGCACCAATTCCAGAAAATTGGCTTCAAAGATGCTATTTTTTCTATTTCAAGCACCACCAATTCCGACCAATTTTTTGTGTTAAACTTGATCACCTTGAATCGCTCTATCTGTAGTGGTTGTTGGATTGTACTAAATACGATTAAAAGATGTCAGAATTGGTCGGAATTGGCTAAAAATCCTAAATTTTCGACCAATTCTGCCATCGTTTGATTGTATTTGGTGGAATTCGTCAATCACTACAGGTAGATCGTTTGAAGGCGGTCAAGTTTAACACAAAAAATTGGTCAGAATTGGAAGTTCTTCATATCGCAAAAATACCATCTTTGAGGCTAGTTTTCTAGAATTGGTGCATCTCTATGTGGGTGTTCATGTGGTTGCTTGCTACGATTCATATTCACACAACAACGATCCACACCCACACCCATCTTTATCCACTATAACAGCTGCTATACAAGCCCAAAAAAATGTCAAAATAGGAGATTAATTAATATTATTTTTGGAATATTTTCTTCTTAAATAAAATAAAAAAGTAATTTTAATCTTTTATCTTTGAAAATGTTTATAATACCTGAATCAGATTTAATAAGTGAAAATTTCTCTCGTAATTTTAATAATTATTCCAATACATAAATATTTGCAATAGCATAAGATGGTGCACGCAAATTAACTAGATCGTGTGTGTGCCACCAAATCCAATACGAATTTCAAGTTTAAAATTTGGTTCACTAGAAAGTCGCATAGAGGTGATCAAAAGATCTTTTAATGATGATATTGAATCTAATCCAATCACTATTCCGTTTTCATCATTCATAAGAGCATTAAAACATTGACATATTTCATTTTCTATACGTTCATAATCATGACATAGTCATTCGTTCCAATAAAAATTATATGTTTTTTGCCATTATGTTTCTAGTTCATTATCTAACATAAATAATTGTTTATTTGCTTCTTCCAAATTTGAGAATCTACGAACTTTCATTATTGACTTACATCGTTTTATGATTCGTTGACATAATAATGATGATGCTATTGTCTGAACAGATATATGAGATTTTTGATCAGAGTTGGAATTCGGTGTACTAAATCCAGATGATGAAATACCTGAGTCAAATGTTGAATCTTTGCCATGATCAATATCTGTTTCATTATTGTTTATTTGGTTTGAATTGGGCATTGTATGAAAAAGCAGATCAATTAATTTAAATAAATTGTATTGTTTACTTTTTGTATTTATTCAAAAACATAATTTCGTTAATTTTGTTATATTAAAAATGAAATAAAATTCACTTTCTTTCATTTCTTATATCAATATATCTCGTATTGGAAAAAACCTTGCATGAAGGAAGTAAATTCATGAGTATTACATATTACTCATAAGGATAGGCAACATCTCATATTTAGTTTGAACTTTATTTCTAGTATGTCTGATATTACACAAAACCAGTGGTGTGTCTAGAAAGTGGCTAGGGGAGGGCGCAGCCTTCCTATAGGCAAGACGAAAAACTTTTAATAATTATCTTGAAATTTTTATCATTTTTCTAGCATATTATATATCTCTAAAAATTTAGCTGGCTAGGAGCTAGTGCACTCTTCAGGGTGTGAGTGAGGGTAGTGATCATCTCTTCACCCACACCCATACTCCCCCTCTGTCCAGTTTACTTTTTCAAGTACACGTAACACTCAAATTTAAATCCGATATTTCCACATTGATTCTAAACCATGATCAATAATCGTCGATAATGGTGTAAATGTAATATCAACACTAAAAAAAGTGCTAATTCTTATATATTAATATTAAAAATTTATCTAATTGCACAAATGTATGAATTAGTGTTAATTCATGTGAATATCAACTTTGACGTGATATTTGATCATCGGGAAAAAATGTTTTGATCTATCATATACTCTTAATCAGGTAGAAATGATGCAACTTGAACCGAACTGAATCGAACTCTATTGAAAAAAACCTGGTTCGATTCGATCTTTGATTTGTATCATCGCTTATGCATTTGTTGTCACGATAGGCATTTATTTATTGTCGGTAGTAAAGTATTACTTGCATACCTTGTATCTTTTTTTAACAAAATAGATACTATTATTATTGAAAATCACATTTTTATGTATACGAGTAGGAGAATTAGCCTACAGTATGAGTTATGTAGCAGTTTCACCAAGCTGACTAATGCTGTCAAAAAGTGTCGCAACTGATGTGAAATTAGTTAGTCGAAATGAGCATACAGAACACAAGAAACTCTAGTGTGTAGACACTTCAACTCATCCTTTAAGCATACAAACGATAAGGAGGTCCACTTGTTCGCGAATGGCAATTATGTCAGTTTTAGTTGCTACATCCATATATTCGTTACACTAAAGGCCGTTTTTTTGTGTAATGATTTTTTTTCAATCGAGTCATGAGACGCAAAACTAATATAAATATATCATTATTCTTCAACAGAAGTTTCCAGAGGTGAATCACTTTTTGACAAAGTCAGTGTGTAAATAAAGATCGAGAAATCGTGCAGTTCTTCTACAAAAAAGATGAAAATTTTCAAAGATTTGCAAGTCAATTCCTGTTTTTCGATGATTTTTTTTCTTTAAACTGTTCTCCAAATACAGACATAATTTCTTTTTCCTTTCTGTTTCTTACGGTGCAAAACGACACGTGGTAATTTTTCTCTTCTTTCGTCTCTCATGTAATTGAGATTGACAAAACATTTTTACAAGTTAAATACAACGGTAAGTATCAACAAACTTATATACAAATTCTTTCTTCTTCTTTTTTCACCGTAACACAATTTCTCTTCGAACATAAGAGTTTTAGTAATATGTCATGACATTAACTGGTTATCGTTCAGTAAAAAAAAGCATTATGCGCGTGAATTTCATCCTTTTATTTGTAGTTAATCAATACAAGATCATTCTGTCTATTACATGACCTATTGTAGTGAGCAATAGTCTCGAAGCATCGTCCGTAGAAGAGTACAGCCTCATGACGCCGATTGAAATTACACAGATAAATAAACTTCTAATTTTTCGGTTCCATAAAACATAGAGCAGTCCTTCCCAACAGTCCCAAAAATTCTGAAAAGCGTAAATTATGCAAAATTCATGAAGTTATTGTTCTAATCACACTCACCTTCACAAACATATATGAATCATACCGAACACATGATATTGTCGACAAATTTTCTCCGAATAGTGTGTTTCATTTACACTTACGTGTTAAATGGTAATTCAATTCGACTAGGAGAATTTGAACTGGTGACAGGACAGTTGAACCTTCAACAGTTGAGCCTTGCTGCAAAGATCATCGATTTATCTTTGTGAAAATGTAAAAACTCCACAACTAGATTTTAAAAAATTTTAAAGGAAAAATAAGTTGAAGAAAATTGATTTAAAAATAAACTTGATTTGTTTCAAAAGTGAATTGACAAGATTTTAAATTTAAAATACATTCAGAAGATATAGAGTATAGATATTAGTGTAATTTTCAGATAAGAGTGGCAGTATTGGTATGCATGTATGTTGAGATTTGAAGGATGAGTAGATGATGAGCAGGAGAAAAGATTCACATCCGGTAGTCTACTCTCTGATATTTGATCTCACATCTATATGCACTCGAGATAGTTAATTTACCATTCTTTTTATGTTTCGAAAAGATCCGTCTAAAGGATCAATATGATTAACATTGGGCATGTGGCAGCTCATAAGGTAGTGAGCTGTTAAAAACCAAACTTGAACAATATTTCTATTGTTGACCATCGGCATGATTACAACTATTTTATTATCGGGAGATTCTTGTTTAAGTATCATAGAAAATTCCATATTTTGGTTTACATTAAGTGGTACAGCTAAAATATTAGTATCAGTTCATCAGCTGTATCCCGCTTATAAATCGTCATAGATCAGTTCATCAGCTCATGAACTGTCACTACATATTAGAATTGTTCTCTGAATTTATTTTAGTTATAGTTTTTGTTGCCTATTCAGTTTTAAAATAAAGTTTGTTACAAAATCAAATTTTTTAAAATCTAGTTCTGAAGTTTGTAAATTTTCACAAAGATAAATCGATGATCTTTGCAGCAAGGCTTAAATGTTAAGAGGCTCAATTGTCTATGTACTATTGATATCTACTTAGTTGTGCTCAATATGGATTCCGTCGAACTTGTGAAAAATATAATGAAACATGCGACTAGAATCAATGAAATGTCAAAGCAAGTCATATTGAACAAACGTCAATTTCAACGTAAGTCTTTCAATCTGTTTCGTAGACTGATCGTTCTCTTTTTTCTCAATCCTGAAAGAATGAGTATAGAAAACGGAAATTGCTGGTCCGTTTGTCCACGATCTGATGGGTCAGTTTTTTCGGCCAATCAGAATTCACCTTTGGTAGGGTCCATAAATTGTCAACTGCTATCCAATGGACGTGCCGATAGGTCATCAACCATTATTCTCTAGGGGTACCCATAAATCTTCAACTACTGTAGGAGTAGCCCTAGGTCCTCAACTACTATACTATTGAGAGTACCACTAGGTCTTCAAGTACTATACTATGAGGGCAGCCTTAGATCCTCAACTGCTATACTATAAGGATACGCATGGTTTCTGAACTGCTATACTATGAGAGTGTTCCTAGTTCCTGAACTGCTATGAGTCTCTATCCTGAGTGGATGAATATAGGAAACGGAAATTGCTCATCAGTTTGCCCGCGGTCAAAGTTTAGGCTTTAGATTGTCGAAATAAGGATATAGTTGTTGCCAATTCTGAAACGATCGATATAGTAAAAGAAAATTCCTTATCTGGTATGTAGGGGTTTTGATTTTTCGTAGTCGAAAAACCTTTGCTAAAGTCTCATTGGCTTGAAGCTTTTCGTGTGAACCAATCAGATTTTAGCAAAGTTTTTCTTCACTATTGTATAGGGGAGAAAGTGTTGTCTGCGTGAATGAGAAGGTTTCTTGTGGTTCTCTTGCATAAGGTGCAAATAATACGATGTTTTGCCGTTACAATAGTGCAGAAAATCCTTCCAGAAACCTGATAGGCTAGAAGTTTTTTTTTGGTCAGGACAAAAGATGATGTTGTTCGGGCTATATGGAAGACGTATGTTAGCTTAGGACGAAAAGCTCGTAGCCATTTATTCAGCAGAGTTTTTCTCTCCTATTGTAAACACAAAACATAGTGTTGTTTGAGGTGACCAGGGATTTCAAGGGGCCTTGTTTCATATGGCCCGAACAACACCATGTTTAGTTCTTTCAATAATTGTGGAAACTCCTAATTCCTCTTTCCATAGACTGGAATAACTGGGATAACTGAGAATCAACACAATGACAGTATCATGAAATACAGATGTTTCCCCCTTGGAAATGACACTTGACTATGGGTGATTCAAGATAAAAATATCTACGCAGCAAGTGTTTTGTTGTGTCTGCGATTACAATCCCATGGAATACTTTCGAAGAAAGTCGATAAGCTGTGTGTAAAGGAAATACGATTTTCGGTTAGAATCGGACGCAATGAAATTGATACAGTGCTTAGGTGAGTGGTTTACAAAAAAAATGAACACAGGGGACATTGAAGCGACGACTCGGGATTGGTGCCCTATAGGGGCGCCAACGACCGACGAGAACCTGGTTTCATTATTTCAGATGGGAGACATTTATCCAAGAAGATTCGAACTGCATTTTATCCTTTGATCAAAGGTATTCGAAAGAAAATGCATAGCACTGGTGCAATGTATACGTTTGTTCAGTTAATCAGAAACTCACAAATATCTTCAACCGAAAGAGAAATGGGAAACATTCAATGGATCGGAGTGTAATTGCAACTTGATGTTGAAATAAAGTTGTAGAAAGCCAAAAGATCCAGATTTTCATTCGCTGGCGACCGTACTATATGATCAAGTTTTTGGATAGCGGGAATAAACATAGCGTTTTTAGAACCCATACTAATGTAGTATATTTGGAAATGATGGTGAGGTGAAAGTACTCGAAATGTTGGAAAATGAGCGCCGCCTCTGAAGTTCGTTTTATTGATAACTGTTGATCATGTTTTTTTGCGATACGTTTCCTAATTGAAAATCCCCACTATCGGTAACCTTTAATGTAATTCTCTCAAAACTTCGTCAAGGCTTACTGTAACTAATTTCAATCTCATTGTTATCTCCTTTCGGGAGTAATTTCGAACCAAAAACTGGGCCATAAGCATTTTAGTTTGCACCGATTAATTTTTTCTTTAAGTATGTGTGTTGTGTTAGGTTAGTTATTAAGGAAAATGAAAAAGTTGTTTCGATCGTTCAGATTGCATTATTCTCAGAATCTGAAGCGAACCTTAATAATAGGCTATATGATGTTATTTATAGATATGCATGGGCAGAATATAGAAGCGACGAGTCTGGAGTGGCGCCCCGAAGGGACGCGAACGAGGAGCTGTTTGAGTAGTTCCAAAAATTAATATAGTTGGGTTGGTGACTACAATAACAAGAATCCCAAAAAGTATCACTCGATCTAGGCCACAATTTTTTTTTTCGGGAATACGATGTTATTGTCTCTGTACACTTCTTTCAGGATTGAGCTAAGCGAGGTTCATGGAGCCGACGCGTTACTTGTTGTTTAACAAAATCTTACTTGCGACATGTTTCAGGTTTAAGTGAACGAATTAATGTCATTAGTTCTGCTGTTGAATCTGTTCTGAATTTCGGTTCGAATGAAGTCGAAGTAAAGCCAATCTTACAAAATTTGAATGAGACACTACAACAAATTGTGAAATTCATAGAAAAATTTCTTGATGTTTCTTTATTCGAACGCAATTTGAACAATTTTGAATATCAAGAACGGTTTGAAATGTTCAATGATCTATTGATGTGCAATAGTGCAGATCTTAATTTACCATTAGATATATATGAACTATTCGATGAGAAAGAAAATCTCGCTGATCAATATGCCGATCTTAACGAAGTATCATTGAATATTGATGAACTAGGATTAAAAATGGCTGAACATCATAAAGAGTCATTTCCTACATTTAAATTTACGAAAGAAGAATTTTATCGACATGTTGATTCGTTTAAATTCTATCTTCAACAAGACATACAAAAAGCTCGAGATCGTCAAATTGCAAAGAAAATTGAGAACGAAAGAAAACTTTTTCTTCGCATTCCCGGATATGATTTAATACAAGAAGAACAAATTGGACAAGGTAGTTATGCTGATGTTTATCATGGAAAATGGCTTAGCCGACATCATGATGTAGCTATCAAAGTTATACGCGTCAATAATGTAACCGATACAGTGAAGCAAGGTTTTCTTAAAGAAATAACTACTATGTATCAGATTCGATACGAACATGTACTTAGTGTGTTAGGTGCTTGTATGGAATCGAACTATTATGCACTTGTTATGGAATATATGTCACTTGGATCACTTTATGATTTGTTAAAGAACAAGGAGCAAATACTTTCATGGCCAATGCGTTGGTCGTTGGCACTTCAGATGACGAAAGGCATTAATTGTCTACATATGATGTCGATTCTTCATCGAGATATAAAATCATCGAATTTTCTTATTGAAATGACACCCAATGGTTATCTTGTCAAAGTAGCCGATTTTGGTTTAGCTCAAATTCGATCTGAGTCAACTCGTCAATCGATGTCAAACACCGGCGGAAAAATACCACCGGGTACACTTCGTTGGACAGCACCAGAACTTTTCGCTAGTAGTAAATCATCAATGGCCAGTGATGTCTATAGTTTGGGAGTGGTGTTTTGGGAAGTGGCCACCAGATCTATACCATATGAAGATGCCAATGATATAATTATCGTCACTACTGTTAGTGCTGGAAACAGGCCACCTATTCCAGTCGATGTTCCGTCGACGTTTGCAGCCATTATTTCTAATTCATGGAATCAAGAACCTAGTAGAAGACCAACTTGCCGTGAACTCATTCAACGGCTTGAGACACATGCTTCGATGTTACAACCTGAAAATGCAGCAATGTCAGTCTTCTATTTTTAGTACAAAAGGAAAATAATAGCGATTTTATTTTTAATATAGACCATATCCAACTACAACTACAAATGTGCCGTTTCAGATGCCTCTACCTCGATACACTGATAATATTTCATGCGAATCAAAAACATTACAAACATCATACGGTTGGAAAAAAGGTATGCCCTTCTTTTCTACTCCCTGATCTTTTCGGTTTCGAAAATCACATATCGAAAGAATATTGCCCATTGGTTTAGACGTAGTTACTCCAGTCGAAAACAACAACCAACATCAGTCAAACATATCGACGGAAAATATTGGCGGAGCAACTGTTAATACAGAACCATCGAAAATTAAAGACGACCAAGCACATCGAGTTACACTTGCTATACATGATCTTATGCTCTATGACAACTGTTCTATATATGATGATGATGATTATGCAAATATTTTTATTAGTATCAATTTTTTGGATTATCCGCCGGAAGAACTCGAAACACCAGAAGCTCTACCAAAGAAGCGACCATTTACAATGTATTCTTTTAATTTTCAGAAAGGTAATATAATTAGAAATGTTAGAATCATTTGCATTTCGTTTCATTGAAACTGAAAGACTATTCCATACGTAATCCTGAACAACAAGCTAAATTGGCTAAACTCATTGCATTTGATTCATCGGGAGAGTATGTTATATTGTGTTGCAAACAGTGAAAATGCTGATAAATTTGAAATAGGATTCGATTTGATGTGATAGCTGAGCCTTGCGACAATAAGCAAACATTTGATTGTATCGATGTTGGATATGCAACCGTGAATGTAAAGCAACTTTTACAAATCGATAGCGATTGTATCAAAAAGAGCATTGATGGTAAGTGAACGGAATCTTTCTACATCGATGATTAGGATAGATGCGGATATCATAGTTGATTGCAATTTTTTTAAAATTTATTTAGTGATTTCAGCAAATGAGAAGAAGCAAATTATTGGACAAATAAGCGTCACAGTAGTGATTCTTCAAGCACTAAAATTGGTTCAACAACAAAAACATCAAGTTCATCAAGTACAAAAACCAGGTACAGAATATCAGATAAAGAAGTTCAATGCAACTATCTCTGTTCATACAAAGAGCATCTAGTAGAGAGTTTTTCTTTAGTGACAATCTATGGGAAAATGTGCCTGTAGGAGGATAGGTCAGAAAACGATGAGAAGATCTTTTTGTAGCAACGAATGATTCTTCTGATAAACGGTACGCAATCATTGCATTGTATGCTAGACTAGATATACAAAATCTCAATCGAGCAACATACAAAAGATTATTCATAAACAGAGAATTATTTTTCGAATTTCTATTTAGATGATACATCAATAACATCATCAAATCATTTAGAACCATCTTCGCAACTACAGTCTTCTCATTTTCTAACAAATGATAATGATAGCAATGAAATTCAGAGTACTGACATTGATTTGTTGGCTCATTATACTAAGTTGATGTTGAATGATAAGAATGAACCTCGTGTGATGTTTCGTTGTAATACTCCAGTTTCTCATGTTTCTTTGTCTGATAATTCTAATCGTGCTTCTCGTTTACGTATTGCTGCTATTCGTGCTCGTATTAATGCTAATTCAAATCCTCGTCGTCCTCGCACCGATCCTAAGACAAAAAATCGCCGGCCATCTATTCCTGGACGCCCAGAATAAATCAGTTCATCTTCTTAATTCTCACAAATCCATACTCATTTCTCGACGTCAGTTGGAAACATTTTCTATATATGACCGAAACGGTTAACTATCCAACAGGTGGTACATAAATATTGAGCCACTTTTGTTCGGTCTTTTTGAAAGTTTTTCAATGTTTCTAGAAAAATAAGTCTGAGACAAAAAAAAACAATAAAGAATTTTCTACTCTATTCTACTATATAGTTTATTTAACAAATATAGGCACGATCATTTAACAATAAACTCTATTTGTCCAACATCTTTTGTGTTCCTTTTAGAATTTGTTAAACTCGAGTGTTTTTTATTCTATATATTGGTCCAATTCATCTGTGTATATAATTCATATCATATAGAATAATCAAGTGGATTAAGATCAGGTGAACTTGGAGGTCAATATGTCTTACGCCAAAAACTAGTAAAATGTTTTTTACATCATTGTTAACTATGGCGATCAGTGTGAGGAGATGCATCATCCTGTTGAAATATAAAATTTAATCCAAGAAGTTTTTTTTCTATCGTTTTATGCTATTAGAAGTATCTGATCAATATAATTTGTATGATTTATCATCCCTTTTCAAAAATGATGGGACGAGTAATACCATTAGAGCAAACACTAAGCCATATCATAATCCCTGGAGAAAATTTAGCTTTCTAGTGAATTCCACCATTTCTTATCAGCTTAACAAAGAGTCTATGAGACGATCGACCAAGCATGCATATGAAAAAATTCTTTTTTTAAATGAGTTCGGTCATTCGAAAGAACGTGAAAAATTCTACTTAAAACCAAATTTTTAGCTTTTTCTGAAAATCGTATCAAGAGATATGAAGAGATCTTTGAATCCATCCTCCAGTTCTGTTTTTGAAACAAAATAGTCATTTGAAGAGATCGATGCCATTAATTCAATTCCCATTGAGAATTTTTCTTCAATTTGATGATCGAGTTGTTCAACTTGAGCCAACAGCGATTTTTGTTTTTCGTATGTTTATTTAGATTTTTCGATCTGGGCTGCTGATCGAGTCGAGATTAATTTCAATATATTCTCAACATATAGTGGATAAATTCATCGGAGAGAAACTATCAATGAACACATCAAAGTTCATTAAGAACTAGCAACGATAATCGCAATTTCAACTTTGCTTAATGGTCTCATCAGATGATATAGTTCAAATTCATCATCATAAAATGACAATGAAAACTGCAAATCAACTTCTATTATTTCTAATATGATGAATTTCAACTATGCCATGTGATCAGATCCTTAAGCAAGGTTGAAATCGCGATCATCGCTGCTAGTTCTTAAGGCATTCAGTTATGCTAATCGTTTTTTGAAGATTATTATCAATGTTAATGATCAGAGTTGAAGATAATCTACGTTAATGAGTAAGTTATGTGAAAAAAAGAAGACAATCATTTGAGCTCTAATTGGAATCTGTGGCATTCATGATGAATACATTTGGACAAATTATCTTTGATTCGTGTAACCTACATCAATAAACAGAAACAATAGACTAATATATATATCGAAATATAAATTGATGAGAAAATTCTCTCTATTGACACACATATCATATACTTTTTCTTTACAAAAAAAATCAGATTCAATGTTTATTCATTCTACTCCTGTCAAAGATTCGACGTGTAAATTACTATTCGGAAAAATTTCATTCTTATGGGCGATTTTAATATTAAACTATCAAATGTTAATTATCGTGTTTTGATTGACAAATGATATGTTGATGTTTCAATACTATTTAGTATAAAAGTTGAATCGATACTAAATATTCGTTAATGTTGTTTATCATATGTTATAATTAAATAATCAGAGTCGTTTGTTTGTTTGATTGGCATGTACATGCTCTCATTTTTTTCTTAAAAGGTTTATTGCACAAAAAAATTGCAATTACACGAAGATAAAGAAAACATTGACTCATACCGCATCAAACAAAGACCACAGAACAGTTCTCTTCAATAAAATATCTGATCATCATGATTCATTTTTTCGTTTCTTCTTGATGATTTGACATTTATTATATATGTAAATTTCATATAACTGACAGACAAATCACTTTGATGTTGAAAAACATCATACAAACTTAAATAATCATCAATGACAACTGATTTACTAAAAGACTTAAAATTCTCTCTATTAAATACAACGAACAGGTTAGTGAAAAATAAGTCAATCTTCTCTGAACAATTAGAATTAACATATCCTGTTTAAAATCTTTATGCATAAGAACGGTTGTAAATCGACATAATAGTGATATTAGAGAAAATCAGCTAGATTGTGTTAAACGACAAGAATAAATAAATGAATGGTATCATGTAGAGAAACTATTTTTCAGCTAACACAAGTTTTAATGTCTGTTCAAATATGTATTGAAAAAAAAAGCAAACTATCATCTTCTGACTTACTGCACATATTGTGAGCAACTTGTAGATATTGTCTTTTGAATTTTCTGATAAAAGGATTTTTAAATGTTGAATTAAATAGATTTCAGTTTTAGTTTGAATTGTAATCATTTTCGAATACGACAAGATCTTTTAGTTGCTGTTCGGTTTCCGATGTATTTCTTTAATTTTTCTTATATAAGATAGATAAAATGGGAAATGGATCATTCTATGATCGTGCTCCGTCGAATGATATACAAGGTATCACCTCTACAAATGTACCAGCGTACTCGAATCATGGAACTTATTTATTTCGAGAAAATTACTTAGATGGTGTATATATTGGAGTTCAATAGCAATGTGTAGAATTTGCTCGTCGTTGCCTTTTATTGCATAAAAGTTGTATTTTTTTTAGATATTAATATATCTTCGAAAATTTGGAAAAATATATCGTATGCGGGTGTGGGTGTGGGTATGGGTGTGAGTTACGAAAAAAACAACACCCAGATCCACACCCACACCCACCCACCCCCACACCCACACATCCATACCCCACAACCACACCCTTTATGCTTAACTGTGTCGAATGCTTTCTTGAAGTCTATGAAGCAGTTGTATATTTTCTTTCCATGTCGTTTCGCCTTTTCTGCTATTAGTCTGAGTGTGAGAATTTGGTGAATTGTACTTTTGTCTTTTCTGAATCCTGCTTGTTCTTCCGAGAGATGTGGCTCCAATTGCTTGAGTCTGTTCAATAACACGAGCAGCAGTACTTTCCCTGTATGGTTGATGAGGGATATCGTGCGGTAGTTTGCACAATCATTTAGATCTCCCTTTTTTGGTATCGGTATTAGGATAAATTTCTCCCATTCTACTGGGATGGTACCTTCGTGCCATGCTTTGTTGCACAGTTTGTGGATCTGTCGTACTAGCTGTTCTCCTCCTGCTTGTATCATTTCTGCTGTGATTCCATCGAATCCTGGACTTTTGTTCTTTTTCAGAGTGCGTACAGGATGTCTTGTGATTCTTCAGTGTCCGCAGGTGTGATATTTTTGAGATCATTCACCATGCTATCATCTCCTCCGAGATCTCTGTATAGGTTGCCGCAATACCGTGTCCATCTTTCTGTGACTTCATCCTAGGACTGAAGTATTTTGCCGTCTTGATCTGGTATTACATTTATCCTAGGCGTGAATTTTCTCCGAACCATTTTTATTAGGCTGTATGCTTGCCTAGTATTTTCGAGTTTTAGACCTTTTTCAACTTCTTTGCATTGCTGTTGTATCCAGTGTTCTTTATCTTGCCTTGCTGCCTTCTTAACTCGCCTACAGAGGTCTTTGTATTGTTGTGGTTTCTGGTTAGAAGCGCCCTTATTTTATTTCAGTTGTCGTTTCTCATCTGCTAACTTCAGTGTTTCTTCGGATATCCATGGTTTCTTAGCTGTTTTTCTAGCAGGTATTGCTACCTCTGCTGCTTTTTTGATAGCGTCTTCTATTTCCTTCGCATA